TAACAATACTACAAGAACTAACTGACATGTAGAGTGCCACTCTCTAACAGAAAACTAGGACTTAAACAATACTACAAGAACTACTGGCATGTACAGTGCCACTCTCTAACAGAAAAACTAGGATTTAAACAATCTACAAGAACTACTGGCATGTACAGTGCCATTTTCTAACAGAAAAACTAGGACTTAAACAATCTACAAGAACTACTGGCATGTACAGTGTCATTTTCTAACAGAAAAACTAGGACTTAAACAATTTACAAAAACTACTGACATGTAGAGTGCCACTCTCTCACTAGTTGATATTGATAATACAATCAGTATTATAAAGTACATTCACAGTAAAAAGTAAACTTTTTTTTTTACAAGTTACAGCCTTTACAATAATGAACAATATCTTAAGTGAAAACAATGTTTCTATCCCTGGTGCAATCATTCTCAAATACACAGACTTTAATGATCAAGTCTGATTACCGTTAAAACTCATACTTGAGAATGATTGCACCAGTGATAGAAATGTTGCATCTGTTTAAAAAATATTCTTCTTACTGTAAAAGCTGTGACTTGCAAAAAAAAAAAATTCTAATCAGTAAGTAAAACTGCCATTTATAGTATTCCAGAAATCTATCAGTAAAACAAGTTCAATTTTCTGTTTCTATTCCTATGGCCAGAGAAATTCTAAGACAGGCCTTGTTCTTTCATTTCAAATTGAGAGAATTGGGTAAATTCCATCAATTACCACAAAAAATTAGACAGACCTTTTTCTGCTGAGTAAATCTGGAAGATTCAGGCAAGTTCTGTCAACTTCCACAGTATTACACTAAACAGATTCAGTCAATTTATTTACACAAAAAAGACCAGTTTCATATGAGTAAAACTAAAGGATGGCAATAATATTTTCAATAGTATGTGGTAAGGATAAAGTAATTTGATTTCCTGACAACTTAAGTTCATCCTCTGTTTTAAGCAACTGTAATAGTAAAAACAATGAAATTATACTTACATGTTAAAAACAAAGAAATGCTGACTGATAGATAAAACTGAATACATTTGAAATTCTATTTGAAGTTACTCAAAACTAACTTTCACATGGGATTACTTTTTTTTAGGACATTAACACTTACCTTCCAGGAAACGTCTGAATTTATTCTGCAAATTTCGAAAGCGATCAGGAAGGTGATCGGCATAGTGAGATAGCAACCTCCACATTAGATAATTGTTTATTTCTCTGAAAATATTTAACGTTTGCCCATTAAGCAAGCATTTTCTTCAAAAAATAAAGATTAAGTGTACGTTTTAATAAATGTAAATCAAATGAAGCACTATTTTCAATATAAAAATGACCTAAAATGCATTATTTTAAGTAATGAAGTTGTATCTAAATTCTTTTCAGCCTTAAATTGATATGATAAAAATAGTAATCCAGACAATATATATTTTTATTTGTACCCCAAGGCTCATAGTCTAGATATGCTGCTTCAAAATCGTGACCAGAAACAGGTAAGCCCCATTTTACACTGCATCAAATCCATATGAAACCAGAGTATACTCTTGTTTCCTGCTCTAAAGACACGTTATTTCACAAGTTAAACAACAATGATATATAAAACACAAAAAAGTAACAACTTAAAACTAATTACTAATCATTACAGGCTGCCTTTACAGTATTTGAAGGTAAAATTTCTTAGAAGAAGCAATTTTTTTGTTAATCGTTCACCTCGTACATGTTGAACTTCATCGTTCTAAAAATAAAACCTACAGATATGATTAAACTATGAAGGTTGAATAGATTAAGAAAACCTTTATAACATATTGTAACTGAAAAATATTTACTTAACTAGGCATTACAATAAATTTGTTACTAGTAGTTTAAAGCACCACATATACTTACTCTATTCCCTTCGCAATAAGGAAGTCGGAGAGATCCCTGAAATACTGTGGATGTACAATAGCTACTTCAGTGTCAACACTTATTTCCGATAAAGGAAAATAGGCCTGTAGAAGGTCCAGCCATTTGATCTATGCCATACAAAGTTTTTACATATTCAATAACTGGATTACAAAGTGTGACTTTTTTTAACGTATCTTTCGAACCTTCTGTAATAAATCCGTACTACAAAATATCTTGTCAACAACAGTTTGGTTATAAAAGCATGCTACAACAACAACAGTTTGGTAATAAAAGCATGCTACAACAACAACAGTTTGGTAATAAAAGCATGCTACAACAACAACAGTTTGGTTATAAAAGCATGCTACAACAACAACAGTTTGGTTATAAAAGCATGCTACAACAACAACAGTTTGGTTATAAAAGCATGCTACAACAACAACAGTTTTGTTATAAAAGCATGCTACAACAACAACAGTTTGGTATAAAAGCATGCTACAACAACAACAGTTTGGTAATAAAAGCATGCTACAACAACAACAGTTTGGTAATAAAAGCATGCTACAACAACAACAGTTTGGTAATAAAAGCATGCTACAACAACAACAGTTTGGTAATAAAAGCATGCTACAACAACAACTGTTTGGTAATAAAAGCATGCTACGACAACAACAGTTTGGTAATAAAAGCATGCTACGACAACAACTGTTTGGTAATAAAAGCATGCTACGACAACAACTGTTTGGTAATAAAAGCATGCTACGACAACAACTGTTTGGTAATAAAAGCATGCTACGACAACAACTGTTTGGTAATAAAAGCATGCTACAACAACTGTTTGGTAATAAAAGCATGCTACAACAACTGTTTGGTTATAAAAGCATGCTACAACAACTGTTTGGTTATAAAAGCATGCTACAACAACTGTTTGGTTATAAAAGCATGCTACAACAACTGTTTGGTTATAAAAGCATGCTACAACAACTGTTTTGTTATAAAAGCATCCAAATAAACTTTGTATCAAAATGTAGTTAACAAAATGTGACTAATAAACTAATATTATAAGAGTTTTAACTTCTTAATTTTAAAAAGAAATATTTAAATAAATATTGAGAATAGTGACATTTGTTCTTTAGGTCTTGCCTATTCTGTAATTTATTTACCACTCTTCTAGGAAAGATGAAGTTTAACATAAGTTACTTATTATAATACAGTTATTAATAAGTAATTCTTATAGCCTTAAACCTTTTTTGTTTAAAGACATAAACTAGAGTGTCAGACCCACTTCCCACACCCACCTGTCACCTCCTCATTTTCACAAACTGCCAATAATTCTGATGTTTTATATCATTTATAACCAACAGAAAGACGAAGTTTTATAATCTATCAAATGATATATAATATTACACTGTTTCCAGTACAGAGTATTGTTAATTTCATCTTCAGTTTAAAAGTTTATCTCATGTGTTCAGATCAAACATCTAAGGGAATTATTTTAAAACATTTATACCTTAGTTAAAAATCCAGTAAAATTATAATAGTTATTGGACATTGTTTGCTCAGTGCATGTTATTATTCTGTGTTCTTAGGTGCATTCTTTAACACATACAACTAGAGTAGAAAAAATAACATTTTAAATATAAAGTTTGTCTGAAAAAAAAAAAGGTTGATACTTATTTAGAAGGTTCTAGAGATTACAAAAATGAAATTTGATAACTTTCAGATGAAGAAATGTATTTTTAATCTTAAGATGAAAATAACTTTGCTCTTGGACAGTCAGCACTCCAACTCCATATAGTCACAGACAAATCTTTAGTAAAAATACTTAATTGAAAAAATCTGATTTATGTGTACAAAAGACTTGTAATGTTTACTGAAAGCTTGTAAAACTTTCTGAAGATACACAAAACATATTAAGTAATAGTATGGAAACTCTGATGATTACTTGACAGTTACATTGTCATTGTTACCCACTGACCCCTTATGGAAAGAATTAAAGAACATTTTAAAACACTAAGGTACTTCTAAGGACTGATAATATGCAGGGGTGTTTATAACTTTATTCCCATTTTTCTTGCATTCTCTAAAAACACTATCATTACTTCCTTGTTATCCATTTTGCTTCTGAACTTAGAAACCCAATTCATGGTTTAAAAGTTCAACATTCAGTATAAAATGAGGACAACGTTTTCTCACCAAACATATTAAAAATGTCCTTATTCAACGAGAGAATGTATAAATGTTCTGTTTTCAAATGACTGATCTTACTTTAGGTGCCAAACTTTTTAATGCATCCACAGTCATCTTCTTATAGCTTTCCTCAGGATTTAACAAAAGCTCTATGGATGGCATTATCTGTAACAGAAAATATTAATATTACAATCATACAAGCTGACTGCTATCTATAAATAAACTACTTTATTGAAACAAAAGTTAAATTAAAAATAATAACTAACACACAATGTTAAAATACGTACACAAAAGCATTTTTAATTAAGGCCAATCTGTGGCCCCCCAAAAGTTGACTACATGTACTGACTTTACAGCATCATCATGAGGAGTGGATTGCAAAACATGATAGTGTCATTTTTTTTTTTAAACTAAGCCCCGTCGTGTAGATTTACTATTTCTGTGTAACTTTTAGAGGAGGTTCAGCTACATTCTTACACAGATATTCACTGGACCTTCATCTCTATTTAATAATTCATGATCTCTTTCTATATTTTACTATCCACAAGGATTAACAAATATTATTGGCTCAAACACCTTTTGGTTAAACCAATGGTAGAGTTCTTTCTAATACTTCCATACGTTGTATTTTATTCCAGAATATTTTTGTCAAGACAAATTGAAACTGATTCTATATTTAAAATAAACAATAAACAGGGAGAGGGGCTTTTTAAGAAATACAACTACTAATAGAATTAAAATAACCACATCTGACTTATTACTCCTTTGACTTGTACAAATTATCAGCATTCTATCACATTCACAGCTTTCTAGAGCATAATTTTAACGATACTTCAAAATCACAAACTTAAACACATTTTTAACTGTTACCCTACCCATTCATTCAAGTAATACTGTTTTATAAGTACTCTATTTAAGTTCATGCCTCATGATTGTCAACAAGTCAAACCAAAGAAAGAATGGTTATTTGATGCTCCAGAAATCAGCAGAGTAGTATAGCCTCTGAACTAACAAATTTTGGCTTCTAGCCAGATTAAATGAAAATCAAACCAAGAAAAATGTTTAAAATGTCTTTAAAATGCATTTCGCAATGACTGTGCGTGTGTGTGATGAATTCCATGTTTATCTAATGAATTCTGATTATTAATCCTTACATACGATTTGGAACCCAGTTCTTTATAAATATAATAAACAAGTTTCAAACACAGTTGTATGGTGAAAGCTTTTTCCATGAGTTTGCAACAGATTTCTGGTTAATCCTAATCACAAGATTATTAAAAATTGTTGATTTAAAAAGAGGGAATAGGGATCTTGAAAAAAATTACAGAAACAAGATAGGTAGCTTAAAGTGAAAATGCAATCACAAAAAAAGTAAACAAACAAGCTTAAGGTTTGAGACATAGTGTTGACATTATTTACTTAAGCTACAAATCCCTATTTGACTCCATGTCTAAAAGTTGTAATATTTAGAAGGTTTATTCAAACATGCGTTCTACTTATCAACCAATAGGTCAATAAACTACATTAACATTACACCTCCAGTTTTACTTCAATTTCGTATGAATCACAAGAACCAATTTATCAGCTGAAAATTATCTTGCTGCATTTATATAATTTTTATTTCAATGTTTTTGCAAGTTTAAGATCTTTGTTGTAAGTATGTTTTTGTATTTTTGTTGTCATTTATACTTTGTACAATACACTTTCATTAGAACTAACCACACACACACACATATACCTTTATTAAAATATACTAAACATCCAGTCACAAGTTTAATCTTCGGCTAGCTCAGTACTTATACAGGGAAGTTAAACCATTACTTTAACTTACATCCTGCCTACTTACAACACGAAACTTTTCTTTACATCTTAAAAAATGTAGAAATTATAATCTCAGCTACATCACGGACTGTTTTTACTTACAATATTTTCATTTTTAATTTGCAAATAAATGAACCATCAGGCAAGATTATTAACTTCTTTGATGTTATGTCTGATTGTGTTAGATAAAACAAATATATCATTTACTTTCACAAACAAGAAAGATATTTTAGGGATCATATTAAAGTCATAATCTCAATAAAATGGGAGTGCATCATAATATAAAATAGCTTGAAAATATGGGGAAAAAGTATCTTTGTCGTGAACTCCCATAAACTTTACTTTCCAATATGCAATACTTGTTGCTTTTGGAAAAAAGCAGTTTGTGCAGAGGGTGTAATAGTATAAAGAATAAAATATCTGTAATGGAGAAACAGTGGATTATAATTAACATAAGTCTACTATATAAATAGTGGCATTAATCAAGCTATGGGTATTTGACAATTTTTGTCAGATAATTAAGGCATACAAAGACCTGATGCAAGGGATGGCTAAAGAATATGGTGCTACTCCTGAACATGCTGAGCAGTTTTCAGAAGATACGTTCCAGTTTGAGAAACGCATGGCAAAAGTAGGTCCAATCAATCATTATTTAGTAAAAGTAAATGTATTTCAGTGATATTAATACACCTTTTTTTTTTATAAAAATACCAGAAAATACATATTCCTATGTTTGTCCCATCTGAAAGTTAAAGAAAAATTAATTTTTACTAGTTTGGAACTTGATAGAAAGTAATGGTACTGGATATAGTGTTTGATGTATATTCTAATTCTATAGTAAATTTTCTCAACTTTTATTAAAGTCTTTAGAAGAATATACAGGACAAAACCTTTGTATGGTCCCTCACAATATTGTTAAGAAAATGGATGAAAGCACAATCATGTTACAATGCATATAAAAGCTTATAATTTAACAAAGTCTGTCTTATATTGTTATCATGTATGTTTATCATACCTTCCTGTCATCAAAGTCTCTAAACGTGCTTCAATTATTCTCACTTGCACCCTGTCCTTATCTTAGCAGGTTATGTTAATGATATCCAGACAATAATTTATAATATGCCGAGTTAGTTTAAATAAGCCAATTATTTGTCCGAAACATTAATAAGGCTAATATGATAGTGAGTTTTCATAATGCACATAGAAGAATGATTTTAATAGATGTGTAACACATCATGAATTTTATAATACAACACACCAGATAAAGTAAAGACAGAATAACAATAAGATCTACCAGACTATTAATACTTCATACATTTATATATTCAAAAACTAAAGAATTAATACAAGTCTGAAACTGATTTCAGTGAGGCACGTGTTTTCTGCCTATCAGTAATTTTATCTTAAACATTCACTTACCTTTAGTGATAAGAAATCTTGTATCAGATTTTCAAAATTACTGCTATTTAAATTAAAGTCTGACAATAAACATGACACTAGTTATTGAGTTTACTGATGTTAACTCCAGTATAATAAAAGTCACTCAGGCAAAGTGCCAACAATTTGAATTGTTGACAATGCACAGTTAAGCAATGGTCCAGCTGTTAATACTAAAAGTATTATGAATGGTATCACATACCCTTAAAGAAAACAAACAATAATTTCTGTGTTTCAACAACTTGGCCTTCGTGGTATATCAAAAACTGTTTGAAAAGAAAACATTAACTTTCGTTACCATAACAGTAGCTTTGTTTGTTGATTTTACGCAGTATCTACTATCAAATGGCATCAACCACTTTTACTGCTCATAAGAAAGTGTCAGTTTTAGAATGGAATTACATTATGAAATCTACTGATTTAACTTCGAGATTCAAAATTAATGTTCGTAATTAGTAAAACATTACCAGTGCACAGTTCAAAAGATAGCTTAACACGTTCTTACAACTGAAACCAATACACCCATGATATACAAGTCATTGCAAGAGAAGGTTACTACAGCTACGATTAACAAGACTGTTTGTTTCACTTGCTGGTGACACACCAATCCCCACTTAAGCTACACAGCATACTTGGGTTACGTATCAGGAAATGTAAATAGCGAGACCACAGATTGAACTCCTACAATTGGTTGCCAAGACATCTAGCACATGGGCCAGACAGCTAGACTTGCATCAGCCTCTGCAGTGCAGTTCTGCTGGTAGCATAGTTAGAGATAATGTGCCCAAGTGGGTGCTCATTGAAGGTAATAAAATAAAATAAAAGATTCACACAAATGTTAGGCTTACTGATTTGTAATACTTCACCAGCTTTATGAAGTTAAATCATAACTTTAATAATGTTTTTAATAGAGGGTGGTCTTTAGCAGAGGTGCTATATGCATTGTACTTGCATCCTAGATACACCAGTTTCTGTTCAAATCAAGCATCTTTTAAATCTATTGAAACATTTTAAATAAAAAACAGGGTTACATATAGTTAAAGTGGGTTCTGATATTCAAAATTTATTTGAAAGTAACAAAATAACACAAGATTTATATGTATAAATAGGATACGTGTTAGAGAGAGCCTCCTTTCAGACCCTGAAGAGTACCCTAGAAGATACAAAATCAGTATTTACACTTTTACACGTGTGTGTTTACTTATTTTAAATAAACAATAATAAAGAGTTTGTAAACTATTTTAAGGTATATTTATATTATTTAATTTTTACTTATCATGTCCCTAGACAGTTTGGTAAGAAACCTACTAAAACAAGCACTCACCTGCTCAAGATTAGATTGCTCATAATAACTAGGGTCAGGTAATCCGAGACCTGCTGGTTCCATCTAGAAAATATCATAACACATAATGAGAATAATGAATTATATAGATCAATGAGCAAACATAGCTACACAGTTGACTTAAAATAATTATTATTCTACTGTATCATAAATGAAAAAAACAAATCTAGGATTTTGAAAACTTTTTATTTTAATATTTTCATTGTTACATTAGTCTGTAGAAATATCAGAGTCTGAAAAACATTAATCAGTTCCTATGTTTCTATAATTAAGAAAGTATTTATATGTATATTAGAATTAAGACTATTAGAGCCCATCTTATATTTCTACAGAATATAAAAAAGAACCATGCTTTGAACTAACAACTGTAGTCTACCTCTATACATCAAGTACGTAAAGACATTGTAGAGAATGAATTCGTAATCCAATGGTAACTTTGAAGATTTAGAGTAGGTTTGCTCACTAAAGTTTTGTTTTTTGGTAAAAGTTCATAATCTTTGTGGTCTATCAAATCCCTATAAAACACTAAATAACCAGAGAGAATGCTTCAACATTACTCAAGCTGAGGTAATATTAAAATCTAAATCAAGAAGTTTGTGTTTTATAAATAGGTATAGCCAAGCAATTCAGGTAGTATTTCAAAGAATTCTGTGAAATATTTAGTAGTATATTATAAATATTTAAATAAACATGTCAAGAATCTTACAAAATGTATGATACAGCCTTGACTTAACCACACACCAGTGGTACAATTATATCACTTTTGTGTGTGTGGTTTTAATTTGAATTAAACACAAACTTCGGTTAGTATTAAAATAATGTAATACTTAATTACCTATTACATCTGTAAAATTTTTGAAATTCTAGGAGGATGACAAATAACAAAATTGCTAACATTTGCTAACAGGAAAGAAATGAAAAATTAGCAGTTATAATCTGTACTAATTCACCTAGAGTAGTTTCAGCAAAGTTGTTACAACACAATAGTATATAGTCTTGTATATTCAGTGAGTTAACTCTTTCCTCTATTTCTGTGAATAAAATCAAATAATAGAAGTTGAAAGCAGCCTTAGCAGCATTGTTACTAATATAACAAAGAGATAATAAGCACTGTAAGAATTTAAATTCACTAACTTTTACCAATCGAAAAGAACACTGAACTGAAAATGGTAACACATCTTCATAATGTAGAAACATCGCCAACGTTTCAAAAACACTTAAATGACAAACTTTAGAGAGAACGTAACTATAGAGTATTAGAGTAGAACTACACATAAATCAACTCATAAAAATATGTTATTCAGTAAATTACAAGACTACAGATAAATCAACTCATAAAAATATGTTATTCAGTAAATTACAAGACTACAGATAAATCAACTCATAAAAATATGTTATTCAGTAAATTACAAGACTACAGATAAATCAACTCATAAAAATATGTTATTCAGT